AGGGCTACAGCAGCGACCGGCTCGGCGCAGGCACGCCGTTAAATTCCAGCCTTGGTCACCGGGCTGAGCTGCCCTGCGGCCTTACTGCAGTCCGAGGGGCTGGGGAATGTCTTGTAGCGAAACAAAGGTTATCAGAGAGCATGTCTCACTCCTTGCTCTGGTTTCTCTCATTGCAGGCTTTGTTTCCTTTCTTAGGTAAAGGCCTGACAATGTTAATAAGCTTATTTGCACCCTATTAACGTTAGCCTTGATGAAAGATGTCAGAGCGTGCTCTGTGCCTGCCGGCTTTCTCTTCCCTGTTGTTGGTGTGAGAGTGTCCTCAGCCCTCTTTTCCAGCTTTCATCTGGTTCTTTGCCTGCTGTCAAGTTATGCTGCCACCAGAAACGAAGGTGTAATGCTCTGTACTCATTACCTGAGCAAAGTTTAAGTCTTAATAGCAAGCCTGTTGTTTCAGGACTGAATAACTGCTCTCCTGTTTGTTTACGCATCAGCTTTCCCATGTCCACTTATACACCACAGGCCATGTGATGTTTGCCGCTGCCAGCCTTGTATATAATAAGATAAGTGGTAATGTGATTCTCATCTTTTCCTTCCTAGAAGGAGTGTTACTGAGTTAACGTCTGAACGCATCTAGTTGGTGCTTTAAGAAAACTGACAAATAGCTGCCGGGATGTTTCTCCGATTACTGTCAGATGTCCGGTGGCGGGCGGCTAACCCAAAATGGAGAAGAATGACCTGCTCCCGGCGATGTACCTCCAGTACAGCAGAACCTCACCCGCTTTCCTTGCCAGCACAGGCGCAGGTTGTCATCTGTGGCGGTGGAATCATGGGCACCTCTGTGGCATATCACCTTTCCAAGATGGGTTGGAAGGATATAGTCTTACTTGAGCAGGGCAGGTAAGGATTTTTTGGTAACAAAACCAAAGAAACAGGACCGTCACATGTAGCAGCATCTGCTGTCATGTGTTATTTCTTCCTTTTCACTTGGACTTGAACCCTTGGAGCGCGCTTATACTGAGCATCAGTAACAACGCTTACGACTTCTTCCCAAGCACAGGGCAGACCTGAAAGGTGCAGGGTATGCCTCGTGAGATTGCGGTGGGTGAGCCTTGCTCAAGGGCCAGACTCCCCTGCAGCCACTTGCTTTCCCTCCTTAGCAAGACAGGGCAAGAGTAAGCAGAGAAAGCTGGTCAAGGTAAAGGCATGGAGATTGCTTACCAGTTCCTGCTGTGGGCAAAACGGACTTGCCTTAGGGAGAATTAATTTAAAATAATTTAAAAATTGCTTTATTTCTTGCTGGTTAGAGTAGATTCAGGTAGTGAGAAACAAAAAACAAATTCTAAAACACCACCTTTCCTTTCCCATGCTCAACTTCACTCCTGCACTCCAGGGTCTTTTACCCCCTGCCACTCTGCCCCAGGCAACGCAGGGGGTGAATGGTGGGGGCATGGTCAGTGCTGGGCTCCAGCATGAGTCCTTCGTGGGCTGCAGTTCCCGTCAGGAGGCCTCTGCCCTGGCGTGGATCTTCCATGGACCACAGTTCCTTCGGGAGATACCCATCTGCTCTGGCGTAATCACAGGTAATCACACAAAACACGATGCAGCTTGTGAAGATGGACATTTTAAGAGAGTTAAAAATCACCCAGCTCTTACTGACCATCTCTAGAAGTAGGATGTGATGTGCAAAGCATTACACCCCTAGTGAAGCTCAAAAGAGACTGCAGGAGATGCTTAGGGCCAGGGTTTAGTGGTGGGATGGCAGGGCTAGGGTAATGGTTGGGCTTGATGATCTTAAAGGGCTTTTCCAACCTAAACGCTTCTGTAATTCTGTGATTCTATGAGATGTGGAGATTATAAGCAGACGTCACTGAATCACCCTGTAAGCTGGTTAAAGGCTGGGATCATCTCATGTGTTGCAGGGTGTAGTGCCAGTCTGTAAAAAGGCTAAGGCTGAATACGAGTCTTTGTGCGCTCCTCGGGGAATTGGGATCTGCAGTCTGTGGCAGAGTACATAGATCCTGTTGAAAGTTGACTGTGCAGCCCATGCCTGTTTAGGTTTCTGTTATGTGTGTGGATTCATGGTGTTTTCATTAAGCAATTTCAGGGACCTTGGGTGCAAGACAGTGCTAAGACTTTGGGGGTTTGAAGAGGTGTGTTTATCGCAGCAGCTCCTAACACTCTGAGTAGGTGCTGCACTGGGAATATTTACTGTCTAGCTTAGAGCTTCCCATCTGACGCTGCCTTCAAGAACAGGCAGCTGTGACTTCTTGACTTTGCATGGCTAGGAAGCAGGTAGTATCGAGTTCTTTCTAGTTGCAAAGAGAGGAAATTGGGTAGGTTCATCTGGGACCTCGTGAGCAGTGTCTTTCCGAATGAAATCGGCTGCTAGGCTTCATTTGTTGGGAAGCGTAGTTGTTACTAGCCCAGAGTGGGGTACAACTACCCCATTACAGATCTTCACTGAGTGAGATGCTGTATGAGCTCAGTCCGTGTGTGGGCTCAAGGGAAAAGAACACTGCATTAGCAGAAACGTCTTACGTGAAGCACAGCACGGTGAGACCGTGCTTCGGCTGTCTCAGTTGTGATTGAGTAAGGATGTAGCAAAAAGAATACCTCACTCAACTGATTCGTAGGTTGAATTTCTGAGAGAATATGGGCACACTAGGCCAAAAGCGGTCTTGCCAACGGCTTGTGTAGGCAAGTGGAAAAATGCGGGACTGCTTTAGCAGCAGGGAAGATGACTTAGAAGTATTGTGGAAGCAGGTTGCGAGATTGATGCTTAAATCTAAGTGTTGTGTTGTGCTTTGTCTTGTCTTCACCTGTCTGTGCTGCAGGGAGTTTTTAATAGGTTTCTATCTCTACAGCAGCCCTTCACCAAATAGCTAAGTGGACAGCTTAAAAAGGGACAAGAAATATGTGTACCTATCTGTGACAGTTGCTGCGCAGTAAGAGGGACTTGTTCTTACTGTAAACTGCAAAGATGCAAGACTCAAATCCAAGTTAATTTTCATTTGAGGGAAATCCTGCTTTGGAGGAAGAAAGAATCAGGTAGGCAGGTCAACTTAAGCATAAGGTAGTTTGGGGTTTTTTAAGTGCTTTCTTTGAAAATTTCAGCAGTTAGGATTAGTTAAAGAGAAATGGTTTGGGGTTACAATATGTTTTCCAAAGTGAGATAAAGGAAAATCATTCTAGAGGTTGCATTATCCCTGCACTGTCCAACTTAGAGCTTTTGGTCTGACGTTTTCCGGGGAGAGGTTGCTGTCTGGTTTGTGCTGTCAGCAGAGCTGGCAGAGCAACCTGACAGGGGGTGCTTACCTCTCCGCCTCTCAGCCAGACGGGGCCTTCTTTGCAACTTCTGCTGCAGGTTGGCTGCTGGTACCACTCGCTTCTGCGCTGGCATCGTGAGCACAGCCAGGCACGTGTCCATAGAGCTGAAGATGGCGGAATATTCAAACAAGCTCTACCAGCAGCTGGAACAGGAGACAGGAGTACAAACAGGTACTAAAAGCATGATCATTGAGTAACCTGTGGGAAACTGAATCAAAGTATTGACACTGAAACATGAATGTAATTTTACAGCATCTTAAGAGTTGGCAGTTCCTGTCCAAAAATGATACATTTGGACTAAATTGGATGCAAAGAGACCTTATTAATATAGCCAGAAGAGTGGGAAGAAGGGTGTCAGATGGGCAAACTGAAGGCAGGCTACGTGCAAACTGTGATAATTTTTTATGTTGTCTGTAACTTGGACAAACATAGGTAAATTTTCACAAGGGCACTAAAAAGTACATTGCAGTGACTGGAGCAAATGGCCCATTTTCTGCACCGATTCGCTTCTCAAAAAGAGAAGAAGATTAACAGAAGCACTAAAGCATAGGCAAAGCAAGATACCTTTCTCTAGTCTCACCCTGGAAATAACAAGAAAATGTTGTGTTGAAATTCTCCCTCCAAAACCCTCAGGCACGTACCTGATAGGAAGAATTCAGTCACTGGAAGTTTTTCTGCCGACAAGGACTTGTGATATATGTCCGACTCAACAGAGGTTAATAACTGAGCCTGTAATTAAGATTAGTATTAATCTATTGCAGGTGGTGGAGTCACAAAATGTCTGCCTTCAGTTGTTGAGCTTTTATTCTTCTGAGTATTACTCGGATCGCTCTCTTGCCAGTTAACCTCTCTTTTAATAGGTGCCATGTGTGAAGTTTAGGGGGTTTTTTTAGGAATATGAGTAAATGTAGTAGAAACGGTTAGAAGAGAAGTCAAAATTAAATTGCTTTTTTGAAAAGTTGACTAATGCTGTTTCTAATTATCGTCTGTTAAGTGTTTAAAGTTATTTGAGGGTCTGGCATTTCCAGGGTCCTGAGTAGCAGAAGCAACGGGTCTGTAATTATATTAAAGCAATGGGTCTGAGATTAAAAGGAATTCAAGATCCTGTCCAAATCTGACTCGACTTTGGTCATTGTCATAGGGTACATGAAGACAGGCTCTGTTTCATTGGCTCAGACTCAGGATCGACTAATCTCTCTGAAACGCATTGCTTCATCGCTGAAGTACGTATAAGCAGGAAATATAACTGATCTTGAAGTCTGCACCAGCTCTCCTGCAAGACTAATGGCGGCATTTCTCTTATGTTCTGTGGCAGTGTAATGGGGATACCGTGTGAAATTATCACCCCAAAGCAAGTGGCACAGCTCCACCCACTGATCAACATCCATGACCTTGTGGGGGCCATGTATGTGCCAGAAGATGCACTCGTGTCATCTGCCAATGTGAGTCTGGCTCTGGCAACCGCTGCCTCACGGAATGGTATGAGGTTTTTTTATCTACAGAGTGCTCTCCTGCATGCTAGTTATCTTCTTCCCATAAAAGAAAATGATGATCTGCGTCTCTTCTGGCATTCCAACTGAGCTCTGAAGACTAAAACTTGGTTATTTCTAGAAGGTTCAGGTTCTTTAAAATCTGTTTTTTTCCTCAAAAAACAAGCTGAATTTTTTTTGACATACTGAATCTTTACAGATCTGCAGTGACAGATTAAGCACCAGTTTGTTGTCCTTACTGGTTATACATTTCTCTGAATAAGCACACACTCTTTTATCATCAAAACAATCCTTTGTAGCACCTGACTCAAGATTACTCATCAGAAGAGTTTTAATTACCTATGAATGAAAAGGTGTGAGTGAGTCCTTGTGGACTGTTTCATTGGGCGCATATGCTTTGGAAATAGGTTTGGAAGTGTAGTAATAAATGCTGTTTACCCAGCACTTTGGCAAATTTGGAGTGCTCTAAAAGTGGGAGAAAGGTTAGATGTGATAACAGAGATGAAGCTCATTAAGGATGAAAGTCCATCAGATTGGAAGAAGCTACCTACCTCTCTTAGTTCCTTTTAGTCCAGCTCTTTTTGCATGCTGTTAATTGATTTTTTTCACAAAATTACTTATTTCCTGTAAAAGAACCAGTCTTGCCATCTGAAACTACAGACTTGGTTGCATAAAGGTATGGTAATGGAAAGAAACCTGTAGCTGAGACTTTTTTTCACATTGTTGATAGAAGGGTGTATTTATCACTCGGATTGTCATCTGGGGACAAGTACTATCACTCTTCACAGTCTCAGCCTTTAAATTATGTACAAATTGCATGCATGACATTTTACAAATAACAGGGTTTCACTTAAGAATTACTGGGTCAAGAATAGAAATTTGGTCTTAAAGAGAAAATAAGTATTTAGGTTGAGTTTAAGGGTTTCATGCTAGCAGCCTGACACATGAGAGAGAAGGCTTGTGGTATACTGACTTTCTCATGTCCTCTTCAGGTGTCCAGATCCATGAACGGACAAGTGTCAGTCATGTCTCAGTCCAGAAGGGTCGTGTGACTGGAGTCGAGACTGACAGAGGACAGATTCAATGCCAGTACTTCGTCAACTGTGCTGGCCAGGTTGAATTATTAAAATTTTTCTTTCTTTTTCCCTTTGGTTAAGAACACATGTACTTTCCTCAGGGTTTTTTGTTGTTGTTGTTGTTTTCCCCCCCCCTTTTTTTTTTCCCATGGTTTGTGCTTTGGCTTGGTTTACTGGAGTAGATCAAAGTCATGTTATTCAGCTTCTCAGAGCAGCAGGGGTGTGAAGGAGGAAAGCAGTGCTTGCTGTTCGCTTGGCACCAAAGACTGGTTGTTAACCTGCTGAGGAGCACCCTGCAGCTTCTTGGTACAGCTCTGCCCATGGTCTCTTGTCCTGGGGGGTGCACCCTTCTGCCAGGAAGAATTTTGCTTTGGCTCTTAGTGAGGCAGTTAAGTCTCTCTCTGCCCTTCTCTCCCTCTGTCTCTCACGCACTGAAAGTTCCTTTTTTTGTTGTTTTTCTGAGTGTCCTGTCTTCTCCAGTCTGAAAATAAATCTGACAATCGCTGTTCCTCAGCTTGCAGCTGGCTGCCTTGTTAGTAAGGGGTCTTAGCAGTGCAGGCACCTAAATCCTGACCATTCTGCATCTAGAGACTGAGCCTAGTGTTGACTCTGGTGTACAAAAGCAAAATCAGCTTCTGTATTGTAAGCTGATACTTCTTAGTCTCGAATCAGGGCCCCACTTTTCTAGATATGTGAGGAACAGAAAAAAAGTCTTTGTCCTAAACAGGTAAAATTCTAAGCAAAGAGAAAAAACTGTGTGTCTGTTTAAGATTTAGGGGACTAAACCAAATTTTATTTGGCCTTTTATGAAAGCACATCCACAGAAAGGACCTATGCTTTTGTCCTGCCTTTTTTTTTAATTGGAGTTAGTTTTCTTCTTTTGCCTTCTAACATGCATTTTTTTATTTCAGTGGGCCTATGAGTTGGGCCACTCTGGAGAGGAACCAGTCAATATCCCACTCCATGCCTGTGAACACTTCTACCTCCTGACACATCCTTTGAAGGACCCTCTGGCAAGCAACTTACCAAGTAAGGATTCTTCAGCTCTGCCTCACTTTTCTTGGTGAATTATATCTGCCTTTCCAAGGCGACACACAGTTTATGACATAAAAGCCAACTAAGGGCTGTCAGTTCTCAGCTCATTTGGGACTGTGAAGTACATCCTAGCTGAATTGCTCTGAATATCCTCTTTCAGTGGTAGAATCTCTTTCCTTACTCTTGGGAAAAGCTTTCACTGCAGAAATTGATTTTCAGAGTCATCTTAGCAGGTGAATGGCCTTGACTCTAGTTTGACTAGTAGGTGTGTCTGAGACTTGGATTGTTGCATTTGTGGGCTGGAGAGAGTGCTAGCCTTGGCACTATGTTTTCCTTTCAGGCTGCTGTCCCCAAATGGCCCATCTATTCCTTTCCTCCAACTGAAGCTAAGGCTTTACAATGGCATTTACATGTCTATGAGCTGTAGGGGCAACCAAAGCACTTGAGGTAATTGCTCCTCCCCCATGTTCTGGCTTTTGGATCTCTTAAAGAAAAGCCCTTGCGTTTGAAAACTATGGTTGGGAAGTAGAAAGCTTTGCTTATTTACTCTCAGTCTTTAGCAAGAGTTTCTGCTTCTAGTGAGCAATGTATATATACTCTCCAAAGAACTCAGCTCTGACCAGAGTCCCTGAGTGCTTCACTTTTACTTCACTGAGTTTTGGTTTTTTATATATACATATATATATTCACAGCTTTTCTGTACATCTGAAAAATTGCTATGGAACATGTCAGATGGAGTACCATAAATGCTTCAAGTTGAAACTACCACTGGAAGAAGCAATCCAGACCCAACTGCTTGTCCTCACCCCAGTGCTGCCCACCTTCTTTATGCTGGTGGCCTGCAGCAAACCGGATCAGTGATGCATCCCCATGAAAATTAACTGTTCTTAATATATGGGAAGAGGAGGAGCGGGGAGGGCGGGACATCTCTTGGTGGAAGGTCTGGTCTTGGGTGCAGTTGCAGTGGAGCTAAGCCCGTATAATAGCTTATTGGTGCCACAGGGGATCGGACTCCCTCCGTCCTCCTGCTCCTGGTAACACTGTCCTGCTGGCTTGGGTGCTTTTCAGGTTCAATTTGGTTTACTGTGCTGCCCAGAAGTTAACATGCATGGTTGGGGTGGGAGTTAATGCTGGTTTAGTAATCCAAACTGGCTCACAAGGCATCATGTAAGAACCAGAATGGTGTGAAAGTGTGGGGCTGGGGGACCGAGACTGCCCCTTCTCATGTCAGGGGGCTGCTAGCTCGGCCCAGCCTTGTCACCAGACCCTATCGTTGGTGTTTGTGGAACAGCAGCCCGAGGTAGCTATCCCTTCTCTCAATTCCCTTCCCACCTCTGTTCTTTCCTCTGCAGCTATTGTAGACCCAGATGGCAGGATCTACATACGCAACTGGCAAGGTGGCATCCTCTCGGGAGGCTTTGAGAAAAACCCCAAACCTCTTTTCACAGAGGGACGGAACCAACTGGAGATCCAGAACCTTCAAGAAGACTGGGATCATTTTGGTATGTTAGGGAGGAAAGATTCCAACAGCAATGAAATGCGTGACTTCAGCAGAAGGCAGAGTTGGCTACAATGCAGGCTGCTGCTGACCAGCTAGCATGAGTGTCTGCCTTCACCTGAAAGGTGTGGGAGAGATGAATGGTCTCTCAAATTCATTCATCTCTTCATTTGTCAGCAATTTGTGTAAAACCCCATTACCAAGGACTACATTGATATCTGTGTAGTGTTTAAAAACACCCGCTAATCCTCTAGCACAGCGAGGTGCTACGTAGACTTTCCAATGCTGTTCTTCCATTTCATTTGATTTTTGACTGCCAGTGCCACATGCTGCTCCTCTTGTGAGGCTGCAGATCAACACTGTTGACCTGCCACATAGCCATGGTATTTTGTTTCTGCAGCTCTCTTCAGCAGTGACTGCCAAGCGTGTTTCCATCAGTGGCAGTTGCTTTGTGGACAGAACTTGGTCTTGTTGCTTCCCAGACTTCATCCCAGCATTGACAGTGGTGGTTTATTATATTCAAAATGTTCTGTCTTTCTCTTCCCGTTTTATTGTGGTTTTATATTCTGTGTGTACTTTCACATGGAGGGCACTTTCTGTGGGAAAGAACATAGCATGGTCTGGAGTCCCTTTCTTCTTTTTTTCCATCTTTTGTGCCTGATAAAGGTAAGTTTGTGTGTGCCCTCTCATCTTCAAATTTGCCTTTTTGTCAGGTATCCAGTTTTCCCTTGTGTCGTGGAGCTCTTTGCATCCCTTGTGAACGTGCATGCCTCTCTCTGTGACTCTAGGCACATATGGATTTGCACTGATTTCTTTCGGCAGTAGTAGGATGTTCTTCCAGCTACTCCCCAGGTTAAATTGATTAATTTTACTTTCATTTCTGTCAGATACCTCACTGATACCATAAAAGTTTAAACTCCAGGGGCTAGAGCCAGGATGGGGTGCAGTTTTGTGCTGGCATATGCTAAAGGTTTTTAGATCTGTAGATGCCTACAGACTTGCTTGTAGAGATTAGCTTCACTAATGAGTTGCTCGAGCTCTGCACCCACTTCCTTTTTGGTTTTCTAGGTACTGCTGAAATGAAAAGACACTGCTTGCTGGCACCCACAAATTGCCCGAGTTTCGGAAGCTACTGCGTGCTATGTTCCAGCATTACCTATTTTTATCAGTTCAAACGTACTGAACAGTTGAACAAAGTCAGAGCTTACTCAGCCAATATTTGATCCTTTTCTAGGGCTGCAGCTCCTGTGGTTTGAGCTCTTGTGTTACTGCTTTGATCTCTTTCATTGGAACACCTTTTGATTTTAAAATAGCCTGTACGGTTGCTTAAATGTTGGGCTGGATATGAGAACAAGTCTAATGCTGATCCCTCTTTTTATCTATAAGAAAAAAAAGGTGTGTAACTACAGGCTCTCACTCTGGAATTCTGATGCATGAAAGAGGGAAGAAAAAGCAGGTCAGAAAGACTGTTGCTGTTTGTAACTTCTTAGGTAATGTGAAATCTTATTATTTTCCTGCTTGTGGGTAAAGCTGAGGAGTGTTAGTAGCACTGAATCTTGAGGGCTTTTATCTGGAGTACTATGCAGAGGTAACTTCTGGACAAGAAAACCAAAGTAGATGGTTTATCCCTTTACTAACACTCTCAAATGTCAGACTGCGAAGTATTGCCGAAGGACCTTTCCAGCGTGACTGGGCAATGAAGTGGCAAGGAAATTCAATGAAGATAAATGTGAAGTGACGCAAGTGCGTGGGGGTGCGTGGAGATGGTCTTGTTTTCACCGTGCAAAACAACGGGCTCTGAACTGACCTTGGGGTTGTATTAGTTCTGTGAAGACATCAGCTCAGTAGCAGTCAAAGCAAAAGACAGGAATTATTAGGAAAGGAGCAGAAAACGCAATCATTATGCAACGCTAAATCTTTGGTTTGCCAGATACTAGTTGTTGTTCTAGGCTCCCTATCTCCAGAGGGTATCGTATGACTGGAGAAGGCCTTGTGAAAGAGCAGCAAGAGGCTGATCAAAGCTTGGCACAGTTTCCAAGCGAGGAATGACCGAGTGGGCTGGGAAAAAGAGATGACAGAAGGGAAACAGAGGCCTATGAAATCTTGAATGAGATGGACAGGATAGATGGGAATCTCCTGTTCGCTGTCTCTTCTATTATGTGAACTGGGAGGCATCAAAAAACGTTAATTGAGTGTGAATTTCAAAACAAATACTAAATATGTGGAACTGCTTGTCAGCTTCTGTAGGATGTTTTCATGAGTTTGGGGAAGACTGTTCAAGTATTTAGAAGAGAGATCAATTTCGGCATTACTAAATAGGGAAAACATACCGGGTTTTTAGGAAATCCTCTGAGCTGATGGTAGATGGAGGCTGGCAGAGTGCGTGGGACAAATTTGCCTGTTCCTATTCCATGCTAGGTATCTATTTGTCTATTCCTATTGTTTTCCCTAACAAAACTGAACAGGCTCTTGCACTGTTGAGAACAATACTGGGTCTGGATCAGTATGGCTGCTTTTATGGTATGCTGTGTGATCCATTTTGAGTAGCTTGATTCCAGCAGATAAACAATAATCCTGCAACTGTATCAAAACTTGGAAGCAGTTTCCATCTGTTCAGATAATGTCATGCCGCTGTCGCGCTCTCCGGTTTGAAGGTGAAGTAGCTGAAATGTGTCGAGACCTGTGACTTTTTGTCTTTTTCTGTTTGTCTTGGGTCCTAGAGCCACTTCTGAGTGCCCTTCTGCGCAGGATGCCAGATTTGGAGGCTCTGCAGATCATGCAGTTAGTGAATTGCCCAGAGTCCTTCACGCCAGATATGCGATGCATCATGGGAGAGTCGCCCACCGTGCGGGGCTACTTCGTTCTGGCTGGCATGAACTCAGCTGGTATCTCATATGGTGGGGGAGCAGGCAAGTAAGTGGTTTGTCACTGTTATGTGTGTAAGTAAGGTTTTAACCAAGAAAAGGGACTGCTCAGGTGATCCTCCCATGTAGAATGTTCTGGTCAGTATTTGTCACCTCCTCTCTGACAAAGACTCCTCTTTTGTTTCCAACTGGAGTGAAGGTGAGGAGTGGTTGCTGTGTTCTGATTAAGTTTTCCTGTGTGTATTCCAAATCTGGGTCGGACTCTCCTCCTGTCCTGCATGCCTCTCCTCAGGCTCACATCTCGGTGATCAGCAGCCTGCTGGGGATGAAGTAAGCTTACTGGTCTGATTTTTTTGTCTACCAGAAAGGGATAAAAGCTTAGCAAAGCATATATTCTCTCATCTTCTGTACTCCATGATCCCCTTTATTGTTTGACTGAAGTCCTTAGATCATTTGAGTTGACACAACAGTTAATTTCTCTGAAAGCAGAGTGAATCTGATGTAGATTAAGCACTGCATATGTGATGCCAGTGCTGTTAAAAGCTGTCCTCTGCCAGCGAGCTAGGGTTGTAATCATTTCCCAGTAAATCCAGTTCCTGTGCTAATGCAAATACTTTGACAGGCATATAAGTGTGATCCCAGCAGCTAAGTTGCTTGCAGAATGATCATCACTCCCTCTGACTGCCATTTGGGTTTGGCAACCCAGCATCCCTTCTGCCATGTAGCCTTCTTAACAAGCTGCTCATTTCCCATGGCAGGTGTTAGTATCTGCATTTGTCTCCACTAGTTTTCCGTCCGTTGTGTAATAATTTAACTCACCAGCGAAACAACTCGTGATTTTTTTTTATTTGTCATAAAAAAATATAGAGAATCTTTGCAGTGAGGTTCTCTAAGGCTCAAAATAATTTCTGAAGGTAAAAGCACTATTTGTCTGTTTGTTGCTACAGCCTCAAGATAAACAGCTTAAGCTTGCTAATGTAACTTTTGATGATCCATCTCAAACCCCTTTGTTTTTCTGTTTACTGACTGTGAACAGATCCTTCTGCTCTGCTTTGGTCTGAGCTGCCTTTGTCCTTTAGCTCTGGAGCGTGCCTTCCTCCTTCACTGCTAGAAGTGTAGCTAAACATAACTTGGCTGGCACCTCGTGCTGAAATGAATGCTGTCACTGATGGTTTGTGGCTGAGCCTACACCAGGTACTGAAAAACAACAAAGCAGTCAGCCTCCTAACTCCAATCTAAACATACTCGGCACCTCCTTTTGTAGCGTAGCCTGAGGACTTGACGCCCTGTCAGCCAGGCTACCTGCCCAGGCTCCAGCTTCATTTACCACCTGTCCTTAACTTCCTGCTGCCCTGTTTCATCCTAATGGGAAATCAATAGTTTGGAAATCTGGCGGATGGGTTTTATAAAGGGAAACCTTCCAGATTCTGCTAGTATTTAGAACACCACATTAGCTGCCTTCTCTCTCCCCGCTGCAAGAAATTCTCTTGTCCAAATTGCCTTGCTTCTGACTTCAAAGCTCTTTCCATTAAGGCACTGATCAATATCTCAAGTCTTTCTGTACTTCTTCCATCAGGTACCTGGCAGAGTGGATGGTAAACGGGTATCCGTCAGAAAACGTCTGGCCTCTGGATTTGAAACGTTTTGGTACCCTTCAGAGCAGTCGCACTTTTCTCCGTCACCGTGTGATGGAAGTAATGCGTAAGTGAGGTCTCTGCATTCAGTGCTGGCCAGGATGTCCAAGATTTTCCTCTTTGCTGCACTCTCTCTCCTCTGTCATCTCCCTGAGAACCGTTTTTCGTCTTCCTGGCCTCCTCTGTGGCAGTACAGCCTCTTCCCAGGAGAAAGGAAAGGATGGGGTTTTTTTTTGTATTACCATTGTTCTTACTAACTTTCCTTAAAGAAATGCTGTTGATACTGTGCCCTCTCCTATTTCTGTGCTTTGCCTCTGGTATGGGGAAATTTGTGTGTATCTTCATAGGACTCCAGTCTGACAACACAATACCAAGGTCTTAACTGGGAATACTACATTGTCTAAAACATTGTTATTCTTTGGTCATCATTACCGTGGGGAAGTACTGTCACTTCCAACCTATATGTGATCCATTTCTCTTACATCATTCAGGAAGTCTTCATAGACGTATTCTGCTTTCTCCTGTCAAAGTTTGCAATAAATACCTTGCAGGATAGATTTCAGATGTCATTGTTCCTGTCTAAAGCCATACTTAGTTTCCTCCTATTGTTTGGTTATCTGTCCTGAGATAACATGGACAACTTGTTTTCAAGTTTCAGATAGAAGTGTGAAGTGCTCCACAAGTTGCAAAACAGGAGCGGTTATTTGAATACCAAGTCTAAACTAAAAACATGTGTTCAGGTGAAAGCAGAGCAGTTGGGTAAACCTCTTAGCCCTGCTGTATTCAGGAAATAAAAACCTTATGTGCTTCCACCCTCCTCCCAGAAAAATCACTTTATACTCTTGGCATTATTCTGCAGTTGCTTCCCGGTACAAATCTTGGTTTTGATAGCTACAGAATCACTCCAGTTTTTACCAGATAAGTACTGTATTCAACTTCTGCGGTGTTGTGTTCCCATTGTAATCTATTCTTCCCTCTACCCACTCTTTCAGGAGTACCAATACCAGATAGTGCTAATAAAATCATTAAATCATTAGCTGTGAGGCAAACCCAATAGAGGTATTCAGTAAGAAATATTCATCTTCTCTTTAATTTTAAGCAGTTTATGACCTACACAGAAACTTACCATTTATAAAGAAGTATTCGAGCATCCTTGAGTTAATTACTTCCCACTGATAACCAGGGAGGATGCTAAACATCTATTAGGGTAACTTGTTTTCTCAACAAGAATATTCTGTATTGGCTGAAAAGGTATAGAAGCCATTTGGAAAAGCTTCAGTAATTAGAAAAGGCTGAGCTGCCAGTATTTAAGGAGGTGAATTAGATGATCATTAGTATTGTCAAAATGATAAGCGTCTGATACAGTGCACTGTCAGGGAAGAATCAGGCATAATTAATGCTAGTCAACATGACTTCATGGAAAATAGAGAGGGTTTATTCTTTTGACAGTATTGGCGTGAGACCACAAGTATCTATAAATATAGGCATTCTGTGCAAATATGTTACTCTGGTTTTGAATAGCTATAAATGGATCAAAACCAATTTGCCAATTTCCAAAAACAGAGAAGGAAGGGCAGAACTGTTTTGAGGGAATTTCATGAATGGTTCAGATATTAGTAAGTATGTTTATCAGTAATCTGGAAGAAAATTTCAGTTAAAAATAATCACTTTGCCTAATAAGGGATCTTTGTGACCATTGCAGCCCTCATGTGTGATCTGAAAGTTCCCCGTTGGGACTTCCAGACTGGCAGGCAGCTGCGTACTTCGCCACTGTACGACCGTCTGGATGCCCAGGGAGCTAGATGGATGGAGAAGCATGGATTTGAGAGAGTCAAGTATTTTGTCCCACCTGGGAAAGGTGAGATCATATTTTCCTCTGCATAGTGCATCCCTATCGGTCTATGTAAGATCTTAGTTCATCCAGTTTATGAATTGTCCCTTTGATTCTTCTTTACATTAGATCTACTGGATTTGGATCAGAGCAAAACCTTTTACAAACCAGACTGGTTTGATATTGTGGGTTCCGAAGTCAAGTGCTGTAAGGAAGCGGTTTGTGTCATTGACATGTCGTCTTTTACCAAGTTTGAAATAAGTGTAAGTACCTAGGAAGTGACAAAGCATCAGCCTGGTAAAGGTAGCCTTTAGTTTATTATTGACTGCTTTTGCAAAATGCTGTGTCCTGTTGAGGATAGATAGAGGGAATCAAGCTGTATGACCAAAGTCAGGTTATACCGCAGTATTTAGCATAGATTGCTTTTTGTCTGTCGAAGGCCCAGTTTATAGAAATACCAGCTTAGTCTATAAATAGAATTTGACCTCCAGCACTATGTCACCATTGTATCCCATTACGCTCCAGACATCAGTGTCACTATCATTACGAATTGAAAGAATTGGGGCCAGGACGTTGATGCGATCTTAAAGTGCCCCAGTGGATTTGTGTTGCTTGGACAGCTTTGGCTGACTCTCTCTCCCTTTCCAATCATGTAGTCCACAGGAGACCAGGCCCTGGAGAGTCTGCAGTACCTCTTCTCAAACGACCTGGATGTGCCGGTTGGGCACGTTGTGCATACAGGCATGCTTAATGAGAAAGGAGGTTATGAGAATGACTGCAGCATAGCACGATTGAGCAAACGCAGGTAGGTATGCAGACAGCATCTTTATCCATCACTCTTTGGGCCTTAGGAAACCTTTAAGAACCTCTTAATGGAAATCATAAACTTTTTCCCCTACTCTGTAAAGAAAAAAGGAAAGTCTTGATTCTCCACTTATGTTCCTATGAGAAGGAGCTCCTGAATTTACCAGTATTGGGGAAGATAGGCCTTTTTCTGGGACTACAGATGAGCATAGATCTCTCTGAAACGTTAGGCCTTCAGATGTTTAATTTCTCAATTGAAAGACAAATGGTTCTCAGCAGTAATTAGAGTTTATTAATTTAGGTAATCATTTAAAGTGCAAACCAAATGGTTCCTCATTGGCTCCTGGCTAATCTCCTCATTGGAATTGCATGCTGAAAATACTACTTTTTTATTATTTCAGCTTTCATTGCAGTATGGGTACTCTTAATTCTCAGCTCTGTAGTCTCTCATGGTTCTTTTTTGTACTCTCTGGTGCAAACTGACATGACCACAGGATCTCATCCCTAGACTCAGCAATTTGGGCAGGCTCTCATTGGCATTTAATAAAAAAACCTCATTTTTAAAAATTTCTTCATGGGCATGTCCCAGCTGAATGTTGGTTTTATTTCTCCAGACCATTTTCTATCTGTGCTTTCACTGTATTGGTGTGAAAGCATTCTTTGCTGCTCTTTCAATCAGAAACAGCTTTTCTTACTCTTCCTATTCTGTCTGCATTCATGTATTGCTTTAAAAGTATTGTCCTCCTTTGTGTGAAACCAGTAGCTTTCCTCCTTGCCTAGTAATTTCTGCAGATGTTATCTCTGCCAATAATGTACTTTAACTCACAGTTTGTGTGAAAGAGATTTACACAACAAGTAGCTCATTTTCACGTATCAAGTGGAGTTCTGTTTTTGGAAACTGTTAATAATAACCACCATTGTGTGTGAAAAGACTTTTGCTGGAATGAGAGATTGCTGTGTGAACCAGGCACTCTTCTGACTGTCAGAGAGAATCGGACAGAATCGCTAGTGGTGGAGAGCTGTGGATACCTTCTGCAAAATGACTGTGACTTTTGAGATATCCTGTCAACTTTCTGTAGAACTGCTCATGTTCCCCTTCTGAGTCACTCCTTGTCACCAGCCTACTGCTAACACCAGAAGGCTGGGGTTTCTTGTCCTGACAGATGTGATGGCATCAATCCAGGGACTTTAGCTGTGGTTTTCGCAAACCAGCTTGTTTTGGTCTCCTCTTAGCTTGGAAGCTGCTGAATGGCTCCAGTAGTTCGTGGACAAAGAATGAACCGAATCATCTTGTGTCTGTCCATTCCATTCATTGTTTCTTGGTTTCAATTGGTCTGTTCCAGCTTCTTCATGATTTCCCCTACTGACCAACAAGTCCATTGCTGGGCCTGGCTGAAGAACCGCTTGCCCGATGACAGCAACCTGACCATGGAAGACGTGACCTGGAAGTACACAGGTAAGAAATCACTGAAAGCAGGCCTCCTTATACAGCCTGAAATCACAGTGTCTTGTGCTGTGTGCCAGTTAATTGGTTTAGGTGTCTAGACTGGTGGCTGGGTCTCCCTTCCAAACAGTTGGAAGAAAACAGCAATTCCAAGACTTCCTTCTAGCAAGCCATGAGCTGGGAGACAGCTTTCCTTTCCTGTGAACTGTCAGGAGAGAGAGTTTAGTGACTCCTTCGTCTGTTCTTAAATCTAAATGTACAAACTAGTTCAATAAACACTAAGACTTTAGAAATCAGGGCATGTGTATATGCAAGTTAGACACCGTGCGAGAGCTCTCCAGTCTCATCCTAATGCTGTTATCTTCCCCTCTTTAGCTCTCAATCTGATCGGCCCTCGTGCTGTGGATGTCTTGTCAGAGTTGTCATATGCCCCGATAACTCCAGAACACTTCCCCTCTCTCTTTTGCAAGGTGAGTGACTGTGCTTCCTTCCTCCTCCTAGGTTTTTCAAAGAAAGGGGAAGAATTATGTTTTGGGTAGTTCCAGGGGAATTTAGATCTACGTGTAGATTTACTGAGCTAGGCTGGTAATGTACTTGCTGGGCTTACTTTAACTATTTCTCTTCAGGTTCTTTGCTAAATATATAGGTGAATATACATTTGTTTTCAATATTCCACCTACCGTAGGCTTGGTGCCATTTGATATCTTGGCATATTTCATATAATCAGTTATGAAGCTGTCAGTCAGAGGAGGGGCAGCTGGGAGCGGTAACTTGGGAGTCATTGTCTCCCGTCGCATTAAGAAGCTGAGCAGATAGCTGCCATTCAACTTCTGTCTTGTATCTAGAATACATGCCTTCCCTGACCTAGTTCCCAGGCTTACTGCCACGTGTCATGAAGCGATTAAGAAGTCTGGATAATGAGATATCACTATTTCAATTCTTAAATTTAAATTCTTCACAAGTATGTGCCGGTGGTGAACTACAGTGAGGAAAGGGAGGGGGGCTGGCCGGCATGGTTTGTGTTACGCATTGTGCTCCTTCTGGATCTCTGTGCTGTGTTCCAGTTTGGATGATTTCACCCCCTCTGATTCTGCAGGAGATGAGCGTGGGCTATGCTAATGGCATCCGTGTGATGAGTATCACTCACACAGGAGAACCTGGTTTCATGCTTTATATCCCCATAGAGGTAAGAGTACACTGTAGCCTTAGCTAATTAGAAGAGTTGCTTGCATGCATAATCAGAAACACTTTCCAAATTGACTCACGGTAATGAAACATCTGGTCTGTACCATGGGAAAGCTGCCTACAGGCACCAGGGGGAGTTTCCCTGCTTTGTATAGCATTCCGTGCTGGCAGAGCTCTGGAGGCAGGGCACAGTAACATCCACAGTGGTGTGTCAGATGCTGTTGCTCTCTCGTGGTGTTTGTCTGCAGCTCTCTGTTTCACCCTTCCTTTGCAGTATGCCCTTCATGTGTACAATGAGGTGATGAACATGGGACAGAAGTACGGGATTCGGAATGCCGGTTATTATGCGCTCCGCAGCCTGCGCATTGAGAAGTTCTTTGCCTTCTGGGGCCAGGATCTGGATGCCTTTACCACTCCTATGGAGTGTGGACGCGAGTTCCAGGTCAAGCTGGAAAAGGTAGAGCAGAAAACTGAAATTGCCTCCTGCAGTGGGGACTGCTATGGAGCTGGGGTGGGTGGGAGAGCAGTACTGAACGGAAGTCTGCCATCCAAGTGGTATCAGTTTTCCAATGGAGCTGTGCACAGTGCGTAACTATAACCTATATTCTTGTACTTCATAAAGGTGCTAGAAATACCAAAAATACGCTGTCTTCCTCCTTCCTGGCCAGCATTCCTAATGATCTGTGTAGCGTCCTGCGTTGCTCATGTGTGCAGTGCTCAGTATAGTGAGGGTGCTGTGTACCTTATTCAGAGTTCATGTTTCTCCCAGCTGTCTTCCCAGACTGATGAAGCAAAAAAGCCAGCCTGTGCACCAAGTGGCATTTAATAAAGTTAAATATGAGGATAGGTGCCAAGAACAGGGGTTCTATTTTTGCTAAAACAGGGGAGTTGTCTATTTTTGTTAAACCATAGAGCAGCGTGGAGCTGTATCCCGCTTGTTGTGGTGGCAGGTGCCATCTCCATCACTTACATGTTACCTTCTTTCTCGCGTCTTTTTACAAGCCAAAACAAATGTTTGTATCAAATAATTCAGAGAAGAGAATGCAGTGATTAGGGACACAAATTTTGTATGCCATTACAGTTTCCCTCTGGTTTATAAAACATTGTAGACCTCTGGAACCAGAAAAATGGCGAAAACGAGAATGGTGACGTGTTTTCACTACAGTGAAAATCAGAATAAATTTTTTAAGGGCCAGCTTCACAAATATTCTTGTGTCTTTTAACATCTGGAGCAAGAAACATGACAGGAAAGCTTCTGTCTGAGCTGGGCTTCTTGCCTATAGAAGCAGCCTGTCTTGATAGGGCATGAGTTCCAAGCGCAAATTCACCTTGTGTCAGTAAGCTTGTCTGCTGAAACTCAGCAGCTGCTACAGTTCATGTTCCTTTCATAGGCTGATGCTTCTTTTTCTCCGCAGGGAATGCAGTTTGTTGGCCAGGAAGCGCTGTTGGAACAGAAGCAGAATGGTGTGTACAAACGCTTTACCATGTTCATTCTTGAGGACCATGACACAGATATGGACCTCTGGCCCTGGTGGGGGGAGCCCATTTTCCGCAATGGCCGCTATGTGGGTAAGACGACCAGCAGTGCCTACAGCTACACTCTGGAGCGCCACGTTTGCCTCGGCTTCGTGCAGCACTTTGATGAGAAGACAGGAGAAGAGCTGGTGGTGACGACTGACTTCATCAACCAGGGCGAGTATGAGATCGACATTGCTGGGCAGCGCTTCCAGGCCAAAGCCAAGCTCTACCCCTTCAGCTCCCTCTTCACGCACCGTCGCCGCAAGGATGAGGTGGAACTGAGTGGCTACCAGAGGGAGTAGCGCTGACTAGACCTGATCTGCTCCTTTTCCCAAGCTGGAGTCTTCTCCCACCATCTTCCAGTCCTATCTCCTCACCCCATATCTATCTTTCTTTTCCTTTATTGTCTTGCAACTTTTAAACTTTTTCCAGTGTGTTACATTTTGTATATTTTAAAACTTTAATTTTCAAGCTTTCTCAACTCTGTCTGTCTCCCTCCTTCAACCCTCTGCTTGCCAGGCTCCCTCATGCCCCAGAGGATGAAGCACAGTGCTGAGCATGCATCCAGAAGTCCATGGGAAGCCTGTGTAGGAGTGAACCCCACCAGATGCCCCAGCCTTATGGTGATGGGAAGGGTCCGGGTGAACCCCAAGGACTACACCCTTCCTCTCTCCTCTCCAGCCTAAGGCATGGGACAGCAGGTATTTGCCACCTGTAGTTCAGGCGAATGCTGTGACTTCACCATGCTCTCCACATATCACATCGTAGAGGGGGCGGTGCGTCGATGCACACAGCAATAGAACGATCAGCTACCTCACTGGCACAAGACATAGTGTTGTATGAGCAGCAGCCAAGAGGCAGGTTTTGGTATAGTCCAGCCTGTCACTACCCCCTTTTGTCCACCATTTTTTTTCCCTAACAGGGAATCAAGTAGATTTAATCATCAGATCGTTGAGATGACAGTAATGCTGGTAAGTTTGTTGTTGGGATTGGATTTTTTTGCATGGGGTCACTAAAACTAAATAGCCTTCTATAAACATAATTGAAGATCAACATATGTGTTTCACTTCTATAAAGGAATGGGATTTGTTTGGGGTTTTTATTAGCAAAAATACTGATTTCTAACAAGGACAGATGTTAGCGTTTAATGTTAATAGCAGTGTTGAAATGCTGCTTCTGTTTCAGCTGCACGGAATACGGTCTCGGGGGGTTTCTTTCACTTTCCTTTGTTTATGGGACTGGGTCAAGCTCGCCTGGCAAGGTTCATGCAGTGAACACAAGTTTCACGTAAAACCTGTGTTGGTTTGGAGGACTTGAGCAGGAGGAGGGGACAACATCTTGTGTTTTTAGCTGCCCATGCTTATTTTGAAATTAGAGGAAAGGCCCAGCATTTGTCTCACCTGTGGTGCTGGCAGTACCGCAAGAAACACTGGTTTTTCTTCTGGTGGTGAGAAAGCATCTCGGCAGCTCCTGCTGGACTCGAGAAGTTGTCTTCTGTTTTTCTCCTCAGATCTGTTGCACTTCTTACTTGGCTGTCTTGGTAGTATCTCAGCTGAAGGGATTGAAGGGATTGAGTGTAGCCAGTGTGGCAGTGGGATTACGACTTGCTTTCCTTCAGCAAAGCTCTTTGCCATTGTGCTCCTTGTACAGATGCTTCAGGCAGTGCAACTGGGATTCACCCCTTCTTCAAGTGTCCAAATGCACTGACTCAAACACTGGTGGTAAAGAAGTGAGGGAGTGCTGAATTGTATTGAACACAGTTACGTCATCATCTTTTTTTTTCTTCCCATGGTGAGCACAATCGAAAGCAAAGATTCTCTTTATTTATTTGAAAAAGATCTGTTAAACATTTTTGCTGCCTCTGCCACCTGTGTACTCATTATGGTCTTTCTGCTCCAGCATCTATTTTGGCTGGAGTTCAAACACAACCTTGCACTGATGTCTTCCCTGTGATGAAACTTTCTCTACAATCTGGAGCCTTTTGGGGCCACGTTCTTTTCCAGTTAAATGGCGAGAAGTAGTAGTGTAAATATGAGCTCAAAACCTTGCCTGGTTCTTGGTTTAAGTTTACTTTCTGCTGCTTTAGTTGCTTCAGGTCATGCCTTCGGTTGAGTCTTTGGTCTGCCAGTTCATGATCCAGATGTTCTCAGCATGCAAAAGGAGTCGGATATCCCTACAGCAGCAAAGATTAAAGACCTTTACACCATAAAACAGGCTGTCAGAGCAAGCTCCCCCATCCAGGGTGCTATGGAAGCTGGGAAATGTAGGAGTGGAGAGTTGGGAAAGGGTGTAAGAGAACTAAGGATTTGAGCATGCGATGTAGTAGGCTGAACGTAGATGTCACTCCATCGAATGTGCTCTTTGTGAACGGTGAATTCCTTTGTAGCGTGTGACCTCTTCAAGGATTTTTAACTTACTTTTGAATTGATATGCAAAAATTCCCCTCTCTGAAACATAGTGACCATCATGGGACAGCTTTTTGAGATCTTGCAGCTGAGAGCACTCAGCGTGGCTGCTGTAAGCGGATATTGCACGTGATTGTCATTTCTTCCAAATTCCCCTTTTACTGCTCTCTGAATTTAATTTTTGTCAGGTGTGTTAGAATTAATTGCTTAAATGAAAGGTTGGTAAGGCATCTCATAGCAGTCTCAAATCCAATTGTTTCTTGCATGTCTTTCCCACATAGATACTGCAATCTTGCTGTTCCCATGCTGGATGTGCGTACCAGGGAGAACCTTGGTCCCTCCATTGGCTTTATGGGACATGGCTGTGCTTTCCTTATCCAGGAAAACAGGCGTTCAACCAAAGAAAGAGTTTTGTACGTGACACTTAAGATGTGTCTTAGAGCAGCCCTTCTGATTATTGACCATTTGTCATCACTGGTGAGGCATGATACTTCCTTGGGAGAAACCAAAGTACACAGATGAGGTGAGCTACTTGACGCAACTCCTGAAGAGAGGTGTTAGCTTGAACCATTCACTTTGTTCTCTGCAGAGTTAGAACTAGTTCAGACCAAAAAGGAAAGTTAGCAGCATGCTGTCCTCTACCAACCACTCGTTCTTGAAATATTATTTAAGTTGCAGCCAGATTATGTTCTTCCATGGCATTATTTTTTCTTTTCCCTAATTTATAGGGGCCTGTTAGTTCCTCAGACAACTTTTGATACGGGTGTCTCTTCCCACAGCAGTGCTGACAATAAAATTGTGGTTTATGAGCTACTTTTGTCATTATGTATGCTTAGGTTTACTTTATGTCTAGATCTGTTGACTTTTCGATACCAGAAAGAGAGAGTGAAAAGAATTTTCCATGCCAATAGATACAGCTTTCTATAATGTTACACTTGCTGCTTGAGACTTAGAGATAGGTGGTTCGATGATTGTCAGTCTTGCAGCTTGTTAACGCCTACTCTGGTTTTCCCTGCTATAAATTCCAATTCTTGTTTCATATCCGAACCTGTAGTCTTCGGCTGCTGTTCAAGCTTAGTCGATTTAATTTCTGGCAGCTGTTTCTAACCTTATAATGTTAAAGAATAGCTTGCCTTCCCCAACTTGAATACCTGTCAGGGGGACAATTGGATAGTATGTTTTAAAATAGTGCTGGATACCAAGACCGAGGAAGGTCCTTCTAATGTCATGTTTTCTTCCAGAGGTATTAAATGGTGACGTAAGACTAATCCCTTTATCTGATGACTAAAAGTAGAGTGCCTAAAAAAAGAACAACAAAATCAGTTTAAGAGTTACCACCTTTGGTACAACCTCAAATTAGGAAATTAGAAATCGGATCTTGGAAGCTGCTGTGACAGAGTCTTAGCATCTAAGATGGTAAATAATGTGGACTGTGATGTCATACATCATGATCCTCAGCCTTAAAACTGCCTTAAAATGCTTTCTGCTGAGAAAGGTGGTTTGTTCTCATTCTGCATGGTAAGACTATGAACCTTGGGTGGGAAATACTGAAATAGCATCCCCCTCCTTTGCAGGGAAAGGGGTAACGGCCTCATTCTGTGCTGACGCAGCAGCAGGAGCGTGTTGGCCTGGTGCACCGCCTGCATAGCCGGTGCAAGGGTGTTACCTTATTCCTATCCAGAATGGGAACAGTCCTATGGATATGTTCATGCAGGCACCTTTGTGAGAGAAGCACCTGAAGGGAAGCTTAACTGGAGTTTAGTGTGAGAAAATCATCTCTCTTTTTGGCTAAAATATTCTAGGTTGAGCATAACCCATTTTAGGATAAATCTACTACCCATCAGTGACAAATGTTAAGGAAAGCATGGAAGTGAGATACGCCGCTGCGGGTGGCATGCGCTTGGCACACGTAGCCTTGTTTTTTCTTACCCCAGAAGTCAACATCTGAGTGGGTTTGCTAGTGCGGCACTGGCGAATCCATCTAAATGTACAGCATTCCTGTACGCTGGAAGGGTTCTCTCGCCTACGTGTCGTCTGTAGCGTGGGGAACCTGCGCGCCAGCCTCTTCCATTAAATGATTTCTCCAGAGGTATTCATGTTGTCTTACCCTTGTTGTGTCCTTTCCTAAGTTCTTATGTTTTGTTAGTCCTGGAATCAGTACTGAAAGGCTTGAGTAAAAATGGTATTAGAGAAGAGGGACTTTATTGTTCATATTTAATGAGCTGAGGATAAAATTAAAGCAGCCTAAGAACGATGTTTTCTGTTTCAGGAGGGTGTGTTACAGTGATTTTCACATCTGTCTTCACCAGACTTACTGTCTTCTTGTTTTCTTTGTGCCGACTCCAGTGTGCAGATTTGGTGTGCCTTGTTGGACAGTTTCTTCTTACTACTTTGTGGTGAGGAGGGGAGGCTGTGTGAAACTTGCACTGCATCTCCGAGTCTCGGTGTAAGCCTGGATTCTTCCTTTCTGCTGTCACATTCAAGTTGACACCGATCTCGTTGCTTTTCCCGCAACACCTCCAGGCTGTGCTGCTGTAGGACCTCTCATGCGCAAGGTTCCTCTCTTGGTTCCGCCAAGTGCTTCATCGTCTGGGCCAGGTTGGCTCTAGATCTGTCTCTCTGCATTGATTAACGCTCTTCAGCTTTTAGTTGGTGCAGATACCAACATCTGATGCCTCAGGCGGGTTTGTTGCCACTGTATATTCCATCATTTAACCCTTCCTCTCCCTCCGCCAGGGTTTTCCCGCACTCCTTAACACTTCCCAATCTCCTTCTGCAGGCAGCTGAGCACGTTAGTTCCTTTTGCCCATCAGAGAGCAAGGCATGGCAAAATAAAAGCAGGGGAGGGGATGGCAGAGCAGCTGAGCTGAGGTGAAAAGAGAGGCGTGCTAGCGGTTTGATCTTTTGCCCATTACTCAGCCACTTAAGCCCGGCCTTGGAGAGATGATCAGTCCCGATTCCCAGCTCAGGAAGCATCTTCCTCTGCCGCCTCAGTGTTGGACACACGCTGAGCAACGGCTCTGGACAGAATTGGGACAGCGTTATTGAGGAAGCGAGAGCGGTGGTGCCGCTTGTTTTCCAACACACGTTTCCCTCTATCATTTCTCATCCCGATGAAGGAAGCTGTGCCGCACGGAAGAGGTGGGGAGCGCGCGCTCCAGATGGCTCAAAACACTTGCCCCTCTCTGGCACATTCTTGCACTGACATCTGTGTGCTGGGGCTTCAGTGCAGCACGCTTCAATGAAATTGGTTACCTTTTGGAACAAAATCTATAAATACAAAGTAGTTTCAGTGTTGGGGCGGGGGGGGAAGTTGCTTGCAAGGGCAGAAGTCGTTCTTCTCTCAAATGGAACACTTAGCTGCTGATAATGTCCAGCAAAATGTTCACAACCTTCAGATTTGTCTTCCCAAATAATATTATTGTAATATTTGGTCAGGTTCATTTCTGCCCACTTCGGGATGCTTTTCTGTTTTACACTACCTTTTCCTTAACTGATTGTTTGGATTTTTGTTATTATTAACCCCCCATGTTCAGTCAGGGAAGAGGGCTTGGGGAAGGAGGAGTTAATGTATGTCATCAGGTGACTGCAAGCTGTGTCTAAAAAGCATTTGAAGATTTTCTTTGCACTTTAAACTTCCCTTAAGCATCATGATTGTAGCGCACTTATAGCCCTCAGCAAGAGCAGTCTTTGCACTTGAGTGAGGAAAACTTTAAATATTTGTAAATGCCTTAAAGCTTTAGGTGAGGCGTTTGGGTGCCGATTGTGCCTGCTGTCTGGTTTTCTTCCTGGGGAGCTGCGTGCTGAGTGTACAGAGCAGACACAAACATCGGCAGAGGTTTTGGAGCAAGCACTGGGGATGGTGGAAGCTGCTGTTGCAGCTGGAATTTGTATCAAACTCAACTAAATGAGCTGGGAGCCCCAGTGCCTGCACTGCTGTCTGTGCTGACACCTTCCCTCTTCCCCCTCCGCCCCTGGAAATGGATTTATTCAGTATATCACTCATGCTATAATGGATTTTATTCTTTCTTTAAAGAAGGAAGCCTGGGCTGGTGTAGAGTACTCTGTGAGTGTCCCGTTGCATTAAAGAAAACACAATTCTCTGCTTGAATGCCTCCCTGCTGTACCAGCCAACATTTGCAAGCAGGAGTCGGGAAAAGCGGGAGCGGAGGGGATCTGCTGCTGCCCATAGCGTTTGTTGAGATGGCTCTGAGACTTCTCATCATCTCCCATTTGTCTCAAAGTTCTGCCGGATTCCCGATGTCAAGCCAGCTTCTGAGTTACAGCACAAAACCAAGCGCTGCTTTGCAGGTGTGACGCACTACACTGATTTACTTTCTTCAGAGGCATCAGTTGTTCAGAATAAGGGATCTCCGTGAAGAGGAGTGGGAAATTGTAATGAAAGAGGCACTGGAGAAAGGTGTTCACGTTAATATTTAGTGATCTGTCAATGCTGTTAACAGCCCATCTTCCTGCACGGATGCTTGGCACCTGCTACCAACAGAGCAGGTACCCGGGAGTCAGCCATCCCAACTAGGGCACGATCCATTTTGTAGGTATGGAGAAAAGTCCTACACTGTTGCTTTTCACCATGCCACCGCTGAGCTTCTTTCCATGCTACAAATCGTTTTCTCTACTTTCCCTGCAGTGGGACAGGCTCCACTTAACGCCTTTCTTTCATTAGAAGTAGAAGCAGGTGAGTGTCCCTGAAGTTGCTGACAGGTTCTCCTGTGCCTCGTGGTCAGGCTTGCCGCAGGGCACGGCCCTGCTCCATACATGCTTCTGCTGAAGAAGTGGCCCAAGCTACGCTTGGGGGAAAGGAGCCTGTGCTGTGAGTGCAATTGTTTCCTGCGGTTTTCCTGATAGTGTTTCCTGCATCTTCAGGGAAAAGTTGGGGAGAACCCTTTTTGACCCAGATCAACTCCTTACTGCTGCTCCATGACAACATGCTGCTCTCTGCTCTGTTCCCAGCTGTGCAGGCGTGACGGCTCCTGCTGTCGTTGCCAGTTTTACAGGAGACCTGAGCTCTGTGGGAGAAGGGCTTCCCGGTTCTTGGACAGGTACCCGGTGCAGGTCTCCTGAGCAGAGACTGCCATCTTGTGAACTACACCAGTACATCCCTTCTCCACCATTGCTTCTGGTTAGCAGGTTCACCGGCTTACTGACCCAAAGCCCCTTCGTGCTTTTATCACCCTCCCGAGACCAGATTTTAAAGGGCTGGGAGGACTTCTGAAGTGTGCTACTGCTGAAATTTTAAGAACAAGTGAAGTTTGAACCCGCAAAAACATTTTTCTAGTGCCTTACACTTGTGAATGTTGTGCAATGGATGTAGCTGAGGTGGGACAGAGCAAGGAGTGGTGTCAGTAGCATGGTTCCCCATCCACAACAGCCATCTCCCTCTCCCCTTGCAGGGTCTCGGCAAGCAGATGTCAACAGATCACCTCTAGCAGTGCGGGGATGCTTTTTGATCCCTTTTCGATCTGGGGTTGTAGAAATGTTAAACTGTAAGGCCTTGTGCCGGGTGGCCTGCCTTTGAGAGGAGCAGTGGGCTCACCTCGGACGGTTTCGGGTTCAGAGGGGTTTGGGAGAGACAAAGCTGCTCTGGTTGCTACACCCCGTGGTGGAGGACATGGACAGTTGTTACCAAACGCACAGGTCGGGGTGAGTTTGCTGCTCTCCGCTGAGGCCGTGTTGTTATGTACGCTGTATTTATATCGTGCTTTATTTCATTTAGTATTTTGGTTGGCTTCAATGTTGCTAGGTTTGTATATTAATAAAGAGGCGTTTTAACTACTCCCGAATTTGGCAATTTGTTACCCAAGAGCCTCATGTGTCTTTCAGGATCCAAATGCTCTGGTCGTCTGGATGGATCATGCAGGGATGCCGGGGCTGTTGCAGGGTCCAGCCTTTGGCGGTGGGAGCTGGAGCAAGCCCTGGCCCTGCTGGGTCACCCAAGGGCAAGTTGCTTCCCCTGCCTGTGCCTGCACCCCTTTCAAAATTGCATCCTCCCAGAGTTTGTCTGTGTCCTTCCCTGTGCCTGCGCAGGGGCATGGGCTGGGGGGGCCAGGGCCTCGGTTTCTAGGCTCCAAGGATGGTCAGGAGGGCTGCGTCAGGCACAGACGCAGGGCCTGGGCGAGCAGTGCCATTGCCTCAAGGCAGGCTCTGGCCTTGTGTTGGGGCTCTGCCACTGGGCACCCAGGCCAGCGAGGCCAAGCTCCGCTTCTCCTCCAGCAGACGGGTGTTAATCGCAGCTGGTGGCTGATGTCCAGCCCAAAGGGAGAGGAGAGGATCCTCCCTGCCCCCACAAACCCTCCCGGTCCTTTCCTTCCCAACCCCACCAACGCCTGGGCTTTGGTGCAGGTGAGGGCACAGCACGCAAGGGCTACTGGAAGGAAAATGCAGAGCAGGTTCTGATGCATTTTTTATTAACTTTAAAAAAAAAAAAAAAAAAAAAAAAAGTTGTTTTAAGACAGTTGTGTGCAGAAGTACCCATGTACGCAGAGGCTATGGGCGAGGCCACCCGCCTGCTCCTAGCCCTGGGTGGGAGCTGGCATCTCCCGGTGGGGCGGGAGGCAATGGGTGCTGGATCAGGCACCTCGTGGTGAAGATGACCTCCGCCGGGGGGGGGGGGCCTGGGCCCCTCCTCCCTGCCTGTCCCCTGCCCGCAGCCCCTGCCTACATCTCCTCTATGTACAGTACAGTGGTGCTCCTCGCTGCCGCGGCCGCTGCCTCACGTGCCCGGCCGCTCCGCTGGAGAAACAGAAGTGGTCGCGAGTCCTTAGCGGGACAGCTTAAATAAAAATTAATAATAATTAAAAAAAAAAAGGGGGGAAGTAAGTTAGCCCAAAAAAAAAATACCATCAGGGCAGCAAGCAAGATGCGAGCGTGCCCTTTGCCAGCACTGTGCTGCTGCCGGGTTTGGTAGCCAGGTTTGGTAGCCAGCGTCTGCTCGCCCTGTGATTGTCTGGCCTGGCCCTGCTCGGCTGGGACAGGAGCTGGTCCAGCCTCATCACGCTGGATTTGGCCTTCACAGCCACTGGCACGGTGGCCTGGATGCATCCCTGTCTCCCCAGCAGCACTTCCCATCTGAGAGCTAGCCCGGCGCGGGGAGGGAAGCAGGAAAATCTCGCCAGGTAAATCGACCAAGGCCCTACTGCCAGTGTGGGAGCGGGCACGGCCCGGCGTAGCCAACAGGAGATGGTCAAGGCACTCGTCGTTTCTTGTGGTTTTGTGTTTGTTTTTTTTTTTTAAATTTTCTTCCCCTAAAACCAAAAACAACACAGGAAGGCGGAGACTGAGGTGTGCTGTAACCTGCCTCCGCATCTCGGGAGAGGAGTGGGGCTTGGGGCTGGCCACAGTAGGCGTGGGCTGTTCTCGCCAGGGCGGCACTGCTTCTACCAAAACCTGCCACAAAACTTAAGTTCTAAAGCCCCACGGACAGAAAAGACTAAAGTCCCGAGCCCAGGGGATGCTCAGCACCTGCTCCAGGCAACCTGAACCCTCATGTGTTGCAACTGCAGAGAGAAACCTCCAAAACAAAAAACCAGAAGAAAACCCTGAAAAGCAACCAAACCGAAGCGGGGAACAGGTAAGAGGCTGCTACAGAAAAGCCAGATACAAAAAGGTAAGAGAAAAAAAAAACCCACTATGGTGATTGTTCCTCAAATAACTATTGCAACCAGGTGGCGTGGGCAGGGCTTTCCCCAGCTGAGCTCCTGCCCCAGCCTCGGCACCACAGGGCTTTGCCGCCACGCCAGGTGCCCGCCGCCCTCACTGGCTGCGCAGGCCAAGGGTCCCTCTCTGGGGAGACCTTTTCCATGATTGCCTTTTTTTTGAGCATCTCCTAAAAAAAAACCAACACCCGCCCCCCCGATTGCCCTAAAGAAAGTGGTTTTAGTGACGCCTCTGGGGAGGCACTTGCCTTCTGCATCTCCCCGTCCCGTGCCCCGGGGCAGCCTGTCCAGCCCAAAAAGCCCTGGGGAATCCCAAGGGCACTGGCTGTACCAGGCTGATGTAAACCAAGCCCCACCCTCACAAACGGAGCAAAGACTTTGGGATTTCAGCTTCTCACCAGAGCTGTCTGTTTATAGCAACACAAAAGCCAAAGCACGGTTCATTCACCCACTAAAGCTATCTCTAATCTGGTTTTTCCCAGCCCGAAAGCAAAGGGAAAGCTCGGCTCCTTCCCTCCAGTGGGGCTGGCCCCGCTGCCACACCCCACATCCCTCCAGCATCCTGTGAGGGCACCTGGCCGGAGGGACCGGGCTG